GAATTTATATACCGCCCTATCTCCCTTACGGGACTCAGGGCGGTGAACAGGCGATAATAAAAACCACGATAAATATACACAAGTTTCTGTTCTAAAATCAAATTAAATAACAGGCCTGCTCTAAAAGTACCCCATACAAAACCCCCACTAAAACATAATCAAACTACGCCAGGCCGGCCGCACGGAATAGATGGGCCTTATTTGATTATTTTGGTGTCAGTTCTTAGTAACTACTCAGTAAATCTCTAGGATGAACTATTCCCAAGCTGGCCCTTCAGGCCTCCCAATGCTTCTCCATCGGCCACTTTAATCAAGACCATCCATCTTGCTACTGGTCATCATCTTCTTTTTCTTCTCACTTCTTCCAGCAGTATGGACTTCTCAAATAGTCTGACATTTGGTTTCTGATACCATAACAGCGTTCACACACACTGTGCTAAGCCATATGTTGCTGGTTTGGAGTTTATCGAACTACGAAACATCAGCCATTTATTTACTTAATAAATTATAACAGAGCAAACTATGGCTTAACACAATGTATGTTTGTACCAAATAGTACTCTCTCAGCAAAATTTAATTTTTTAAATACTGACTTATATCCAAATGTTCTATTAGTTCCTTTTTTCCAAAACTGTTTTCTTCCATGTATCAATTTGTGGAGCTGTTTAGTTCCTAATATTATTCTATCTTTTAAAAAGTATTTATTTTCACTCCTCTTCTTTGCTTTAGAAATAGTTATTTATTTTGTTTTCTTATAACTAATTCTGCTTTCTCCTTTAAACACACACATCTCTGTGTCCAAAACCATTTTTGAGTTGAGATTTTACATTCCCTTTTGACAGGTAGCAACTGAATTTCCACCTACAAAAGCAGTGAAGACTTTCCATATGTATTTCTATTTTTCTTTTTACTTATATTTTTAGATATTATCCAGCCCTTAATATTGCAATTAATCATTGTGGTATCCTTGCCTAAAACTTGCATATGAATGGAATCTTCTATAAGAGCCCAGATGAATCAACCTAACTAATTCTGATTCCAGCTTCCCATCATGGTCAACTAGAAGACCAAGAAGCCCAGCCACAGAACACAAGGAAATCAGTACTCTTTTGCTGTGATTTCCCAGCAACTGATATTAGTTTTGTTATGCAATAGATTAAATCACAGTTCTGTATGGTCCATTTAAGAGTTCCTCGGGATTATTTGTAATATCTGAATTATTGTGCTTTGCCAATTTGACTGAGAAACAAATAGGCTTGATGAAGCAAGAACAAGAAATTTTTTCTTAAAAAAATATCTTAAAGTCTCTGGAGAAAAATTCTTGATTTACACAAATTCTCTTGATTTACTATGGCTTGAAATTTATTTTACTTACACTTTTTTATTAAGCTTACTGGTTTTTTTTTGTTATAGCAAGGATACAGCTTGTATGTTTATCAAAAGAGTGTTTTTTCTTTAAATTAACAAAATAGAAAACTTATTTCCAGCATGTATCAATAATCAGTTTTGGAATTTAATAGTGTTAAATATGTACAAACCTACTATAAAGTCTCTGCTAGACTTATCCTTAAGAATTTCGTCAAACCACATTGAAGATTAACTCTAAATATCACCTTCTATTTACTCGTATCTCTTAATACTAATGGAATCTTTTAAAGTACATTAATTACAAATGGCATGCATAGATTGGGTTTCATGCATTATTTTGGTGAATAACAAAGCTACTGAAATACACCTCTGAAAACTTTCCCATTAATCTTCCAAGTCTGCTTTTAAATTGAACACTAAAACAGAACCATTACTTTCTATTTAGTAATCTTCAGTCAGCAGTGTGAATTTTCTATAGATAAACATTTTTTAAAAAATCCTACAGATCTGCCATTTCTCCTTTTTCTGTTACTTTGTACAAACAATTAAAAGACTGTGTTTTCTCTAACTAGAAAATAACAGGGTGCTGCATTATTTTGGACAAGAAGAAAAAAGGTGCTCACTTAATTGCCAATTGGCAACTCTGTAAACCTGCCATACCAGCTTGGCAAAAGACCTGTTTGGTTTAAGAGCCTGTTAGGAGGTGTTAGATGATCCAAAGCACCTTGTCCTCTCTGAATCAAAATCCACAACCCTAGAAATAGGATGTTTAAGGATGGAAGAAAAACTTAAAGCCCCCCTGTGTCAGCAGCACGTTTTCAGTTCCAATCAGAAACTTTTGTGGATACGTCACATTTTTTATCTTGTATGGCTCTGAGCCATTTGGAAAGCATACAATTCACACTTGTAAGAGTAGTCAAAGGACTTAATCTATATTCATCTACAGATTTTGGTCCAAATTTCCATAAATATATCAGTCTATTATACACACATACAAAAAAAGTCAAGTCTTTTCCATGTGAGTTTTAAACACAAAAAAGAGACCGGAGCTAGCTCTTGACCAATATTATGGTCCTGACTCTGTTAAACCACAGAAAGATTATATAATGTAAGAGTATTCCAGTATCACTGTCCAAACCCCTTTCATACAATAAAGCCAAACTGCACAAACCCTCATTACATCCAAATGGCTTACTGTCCAGCCATGTGATGCAACTGAAGTGGCTTCAACATGGTTGACTTAGCACATGTGCACTAGCCTGAATAGACCTGTCAAAATTTTCCACCTTGTGCGGTATTGAGAATTCAGTATATATTTTAAAAAGAAAGACATTTACAGACTGTGCTGGGGAAACATTCGGCAAGGTGTCCAAGGTCTCCACTGCCATTGTATCTTTTCTGGAGCTGGAATGCCATAGACGGTGCAGGTAAGTACATGCCGGTTTTTACAAGAATAAATGTTCGGTGAAGATGCTTCTTTCTCAAGGATTTGTGGAGGAACTGAAAGCATAATTGTGATAAAGTATCAGCTTTATGATTTGCCATTTTGGGTGACTGCTTATGCCCTTCTTTTTAATTCATGTGTCAAAACCCCTCCAGGCCAACTCTCCCTAATTTTGAAGTGTTGCTACTGCTTTTAGTCATCCATATTCTTCTCTTGGGAAGAATTAACTCCCAGAAACTTTTAAATATGCTCTCACACTGCCCAGTAAAAAGGCAAAGTACTCTGGTAAATTCAAAATAAAACAGAAATAAAAATAATATAGATACAAATAGTAAATAAAGAAAGAAGATAAACCTATTTGCAGCTTTCATATAAATTTTTATTCTATGCAAGAGAGAGAGGAAATAGCCTAGCAGCCATCAACTCCTCCTAGTCCAACCTCAGCATACCATGCCTAATTTAGTAGATTTGGGAAACCATTTTCATGGAATAAAACAAATCAGGAATAAAGATAGATTTAACTTCTATATGTCCGAAGTCATAAGTCATCTGGTTCTTCCTCACCGTTGACCACCAGTTGAAGGTTAATGCTCTTCTCCAGTCCAGCCAACCCATTCTTCAGGACCAGTGTATAAGAGCCAGAGTTTTGCTCTGCCACATCCTTGATCTGGAGGGAATATTGAGATTGCCTGTTGGAAATTAACTTTCCATCCTTAAACCTGGGCAGAAGCAGAGAAAGAAGGTATGTATATAGCTTAGGCTTTTAAAAAGTAGCCATGGGACTTCAGCCAATTCACTCATTTTCCCCTAAGAAAAGCTTACTCTGAAATCTGCTGAGAAGCACCATATATATATGAATTAATTCATCATTGGTTTATTTCTACTGGGAAAGGGAACTGTTTATGGAGACTTCCTCAATCTGTCGCCCTCCAGGCTGGCTAAGAATTCTGGGAGTCAAAGTCCCAATACCTTTTGAAGGCAACAGATTGGAAAAATTCTGATCTATCATCTTCTACTGCCATGTGGGGGGGGCTACTGAATGAAATAATAAGATGCCTATGTTGCTCTTTTACTTTGTATCTTGGTCAACATTGATAGAAATGTCTGAAATTCCTTAAAGCATCTGAGCTCCCCCCTCCCCTCCCAAGATCATGTAGCTACAGTCAGTCCTCCAAAACACATAATGAATTTAAGGAATGACAAGGAGTTACTGGGTTTATGCACCTCTGCTCTCTGATTATTTTTTTTTAGCCTTCAAATCTTAAGTGGATCTGACTTTTATATGGTGCTATAGAGCCATTTGTTTTCTGTGGGTTCATATATGAGCAACTGTGTGCTTTCATATGTTTGGCAATGGTATGAATAAAAAAAAGAATAATCTTTCCACCACCTCAAATATCTTCCAGAAATATGGGCTGAGAAGATTTATGTCTCTCAAGACTTTTTCCCTTATGTAAGATATTAAACTACGTTGGTAAAGGAGATTCACAAGGAACAAAGATTTTGAAAACAGACATCCAAAGCTAATCCCATCACAGGAGGAAGCATCTCCTCTTTTAAAATAGACATCTGCACAACCTTTTTGACAATACAAGTAGTCCTCAACTTGTGACTGGCCGCTTAGTGACTGTTCAAATACAATAGACCCCTCTAAGGTACTTATCATCCTGTTCCAAAGTTCTGATGGCTGCCCCTCCCCCCACAGTCACATGACTGCATTTCAGGGGCTCAACAATTGATCTCATTTACAGCCATTTGCAACCTCACATGGCCAAGTGATCATAATTACCGATAGTTAACTTTTCACTTTTTGCCCCATAATGAACAATAATTTGATTAATGACTACAGATTAGCTTAATGATAATGGTTATTCACTTAATGATTGCCAAACACACAAAATCGTAAGTTGAGGTACCACTACTTGTAGTGGTTTTTCTCTTTTCTAATTCCCTCCTCTGCCTCTAAATCCAAAGAAGACTTTGTGTGCTAAAAAGAATGTATTACCACTGGAACTCAGGCTGGGGATAGGCAACCACCTTTACTGGTAGCTTCACAATTTCATCTCCCACTGTTGCTTCTATCACTGGGCCCTTTTTCCTTTCCACGTAGATAAATGGCTTCTCTGTAAAATCAGTTGGAATAAAGAAGAACAGGGGAGGGGGGGGAACAGAATAAGAATTGTTAAACAAGTTTGCTGATGCAAGAGTAGAGATATCTATTCCACAGGAAATTTATAATTTTATGGATGTAGACCCACTCATTAGATTTGTACATCTTTGTTTTTGTCCAGATATAAAAATGATACACCAATTTACATTTTATGCCACAAAACCACAGTGCTACACTGACTGTTTTTTTTTAATATACTAGGAATGCTAATGTGCTTATTTATCCACTAAGAAGCTCCCAGTTATTCAGATCAGGAGAAAATGACCTTTGAGGAATGCTCCCAGAGTATTGCCAGAAACTTTGTTATTGAGTCCATGGAAAACAGCCTTCTCCTGTCTGATTCGTATTTGGTACCTGCTGTCCTAATATTTAGGAAGATAGTTAAAATTCTGTTTTGCTAAGATTTACTATTAATTAATTGACTGGAAGATTTTAGTTTGGATTTTTCTGTTATGATTTGTATCCTACATTTTTAAATTTATTTTAAGCCACCTTATGTATTGGAAAAAACAAGAAAAGGGACATTACTTTGGTAATTAATAAATAAATAAATATTATTTCATCATAGAAGTTAATTGAATGCTTTCTACTTCTTTTGCCAGGATGTTCCTGTTCAAGCAAAGAAACGTTTTTGAATGGGCATTTTGTGATTGATTAATCTTACACATTTCCTGCAATAGTGTGCACAATGTTGTTTGGGCCAAAGATTATCTTCAGTTGTATATGGTATGCTGAGCAATGTGCCAGTCATAGATACTAACAGGAAAAATGGGGGTTGTCAAAAAAGGCCATATTACACTTAATCAATTAAATACATAAATAAAGATACTATCTGCAGCTCTTGGTCATCTAGATAA